AGCTTTCAATTTTCAGTATCTCATATCTTTCATATAGTTTGAAAACTCAAAACACAATACTACAGCAGGACTAACTAAGGTCAAATTTGACTTGATTTTATTATTTTTTGTTTAGTAGGCTTCAGTTCCAGATTGAATTAGCTAATCTTCAGAATAATTCATCGTTGAACTTGTCCACGGAGCAAAGCGCCAGATTATGTGACTAAGCAATCGTCAAAAAACTATCGTGTGTACTAAGAGAAATGAGAAATTACAAGTATACATGGAAATGTATAGGTGTTTACTATATTCAGCATCCAATGAAATATGTTAAAATATATTGAGGTAAAGATTGGGCTCATAATCCATAATCATAAGACATATTTTCGCACTATAGAAATATCTTTCCTCTATTGGTTGTATTACTGACATTCTAGAAGGTCTAGTTGTCATAATCTTTTTTTAAATTTTAATCAAACAGTGAGTTGTTTTGATCACATTTAATTTCACCGAGTTGTGCTATTATTTAAGTATGATGAAGCACTCAAACTGTCTATTAAACCAGAAAATGAACAATATGATAGGCATACTGTCCATTATCTGGCTCAAAGACAGTTTTTGTACTCTATCCTTTACTTAGAATGGGTCTCATAATTATTATGGTTGGGATTAATAGTACTATGAGGTATGGCTTTTTCACATGGGTTGGATCTCAAGTTTTATGGTTGGTTAGTAAATGACAAGCTAATGTCTGCTTCCACCCGATGCTGATAATTGTCACAGACTAGGTAGTTGCATGATTCTGCACTGTTGATATGGTACAATAGATCTAACTTTTATAGTGCAATTGGTCTTATAGAGTCCTCGGGACTTAAATCTTATTTTGAAATTTATATTAACTCATAATGTTTTTAATTAAAATACTTACTAATTACTCGAATATAATAAAGACTATTATTGATAATGTATTTATGATCAAACCAAAGGGAAATTGAAAACACGACAATTCAGAGTGCTTTACAAAACAGTTTTAATTAATCGGAATTAATTATGACATCTCCGAAGATCAGAGTTGATATATGTATAACTGTAGTCTTTCGTCAAGATTAAGTGATAGATTATATCTGCATATTTTGTATTCAGGATTTATACAATCATGTAAGATGTGAGTAACAATCAGACAAAAAGAAATAACAAATAGTTTAACTTCCAAAAGTCCAGGTCATATTATAGATCCGGTTCGGATAAAAATTCGATTGATGAAACAAAGTAATGATTGTTAACATAGAAATTTCAATTTACGATAAATATAACAGTTTTGTGTGGACGAGTTTGTAGCACAGTCTATTAGAGCGCTGGAGACAAGTGTTGCTTTTGGGTCTGACTTAAAGCGCAAACAAGCGTAAGCAATAATCTGGTATGCAAAAAGACCCCATGTAAATGTAAATAATTTGGATTAAAACACAGGAAATATTAGATCTTAATCCACATTGTTACGAATAGAGCAGTTATTATTTGAAAAAGAAAATGGTTACAAGTTTAAAGCTATTTCGATAATCGAAATTTGAATGATGTATAAGATTGTTGTTAGCATCGGTAGTTCAGGAGAATTTCACGGACAGGCAGCCTTCTGAGACTGGAAGTACATGTAAGGGGGCAGACTGATTCAATGGGAGAGGGCGGGGGCAACTGCTGAGACAGAATTCAAATTTTGGCTACTCTGTGGTGGTCGCAAGGCTCTAATAGTTTGTTTTAGAGGGTTCTCAAGAAAAGTTTAGAAAAAATGAATTGATTTTGTGCATTCTGAAACATGCTTTGGAGAAAAAAGGTAGATATTTAGATTTGTTGAAAATAAAGTGGGGCTACAATTGGGATGAAACCACTTTCTAGGGGGGCAAATGCAAACTTTAATTCTCCGTTAGCCATATCCATTTTGTCCTAAAAAAAACCCCCAAAAAAACAATGAATACCAGCTTGGGTTTGATAACTCAGCATGCTTAGGAGATTACCTAACTAATAAGTAAAAATGGTTATTTGGTATATTTATTGATATGGCCAACGATAATTTTTGTCAATTTTGCATCTCACTTCAATAAACTTTTAGGAAAAATTCAAATGATGTTCAGTTAAATAATTAAATTGTTAAATATAGTCAAAAATATGATTTGAAAATTTCAGGGAAGCCATTCTAGCTTGTCAGTTGGGAACCATATGTGGTATGCAATGCAATATAACAGAAACAATTCAAGGACTGTGTGACAGTTTTCTACAAATGGAATAAATGGAACAAAGACTACAATATTCTGACTTTTTTATCTGACATTCTTCATAATATTATATTACATAAAAATAAAACAAATAATAACAATACAAAACAACATAAATATCTTATAAAAACAATATACTTGTCAAAAATAAACGAATAGGAATATAACTCATTTCTCAGGTTTTTTTTTTTAACTATTAGATCTTTTTCTCAGCCCACAGTAGTTTATTTTAAAATCATAAAATGGTTAATATAATTCCTGCACTAGAAATGATTTTCATTTTTGGAAAGTTGGTTACAAATTTGTTATATCGGAAAAAGAAAACCATTGAAATTTGGATTTTTTTTTTCCTCAATGGATGTTGGAATATTGCAATTTAAATTTTGTCTCTTTGAAACAGAAAACAGAAAAAGATTGAAAATAAATTAAGTTAAGGAATGTTTTGATTAACAAATACTAGCAACAATTTTAATAGTAACAAATAAACTGATAAAAAATATTGAATTATTTTATCCAGTGGAACTAACAAAATAAAAATAAAGGATCTGAGCAAAGTTTCACTATTTAAGTACATAAATCAACAAACAAGTTTTACAACATGTTTGTCTACTTTATTTGTAAGATGCATCATTGGATTTTACTTCATGCTGATTTCTGATAATACCCAAAGTCCCCTTTTTATGGAATAAGAAATTTTATCGACTCATTAATAAAATCTTAGCACAATATTAGTGGCATTAGTTGATGAAATTTGAAGGTGTTGATAATAGAAGAAGATTCTCTATACAGAAGATAGCTTGCAAGGAATGGTAACATATACTTGGTATGTCTATGCATAATGATCAGTTGGAATAAATAACTAAGCCATATTGCCAGAGATGCCTTTTTGTAAGTAAATTACTAATCAATGTGAATAGGCAAAATATTATCTTTTAACTTAAAGAAACCGCAATTTATTTTCTGTAACTTCTTGCTATTTGCTTTACTATTTGTGGCAAAATATAAAATAAATTTAGCACTGATACACTAGCACTTAAAACATATATCAACTTATAAATTAACACATAATAAAAAGTTTTCTTAAGTGACAAATGGCACGATATCACGAGGAGCTGAAGGTTACAACCATCTCTTGGCAAGCCAATGCTTGTGACAACCCTTTGAACAAGCACATTATTGCTTTTTTACATTATATAGGACATTTTAGAATCACAAGAACAGAAATATATCAACATAATTATCAATAATAATTTTCTCAAGTTAACCAGGCATAGAAAATTAACATTTCTTGTAAAAGAAATATGTAGTAATTGTTATCCGTAATGCTTGCTAGTTTCTGTTGTTAAAGATGGGTTTCCTTATTTCTTGGTGTCAAATTAAACAAACTATTTGATTAATTGGCATTTCTAATGAATTATCATTTATTCTTAATCATATCATTATGTTAGTATTGCATATAATTAAGACTTTTCTTGAATTTCATTGAATTTCAGCTGGTAATTCTCTTCTAATTTAGCTAATTATGAATTAAAGACAAACTGATAATTTTCCCAGTCATTAGAACACCTCTACTTTCTATTCATTAGCATTTTCATAAATGAAAATAAGGGAACCCTTCTTTAAATGAAAAACTTTTTAAAATGTAAATGAGAAAAAAATCGTTTCTTATGAACTGTCTCTGACAATTATTGCTCTATTTCAAAATCTGTTCTATTGATCTGTTTTTTATTTTCACTTTTATAAATTCAAAAGTGTTTTAGGATACCAATTCCTACTATAAAGGTAATAGACTTTATAATTTGAACTGCTGTCACAATTTAGTACCAAATGCATTAATGTTGTGGTATTTGTTTAAATTTAATTTGAATTTTCTTAAATTATCATATGATGAAAACTGGTTACCTCAAGTTAACTGAGACATGGCCTCAACCTAACGTCTAGTGAGCAGTGCTAAGTAATGTATGTGTGACTTCAGAAAATGTGAGCAGTGGGTTTTCTGCAAGATCTGTTTCTTTGACTGTTGCAAGCTGAAATATACAAGCATTGATGTTGGCAATTTAGAGAAAAAAATCAGAAAAAAATATATATTTGAACACAAACAACAATCTTAATCTATTCAAACCTAAATGCTTTTTGTACTCTCATGTTTTATTTAGCTTTCTACAGCAACATCATCTAGAAATCTAGAATCTTCAATGAACAGGACATTTTTGTAGAGTTTTTTTACCTACTTTTTCAGGTTGGAAAGTTTCAGGTAGTACGACTCGTTGTGATTTACCACAGTATCCATAGAGATCAGACCATTCGCGGTGGTCTTGGTAACCATTATTATGATTATTAGGTGGTAGCCATGGTGATTTGACTACAGGTACTGGTATGCTTGTAACTGGTTTATCATATGACCTCCTGAAAAAAATATATATGAAGAGACCAGGTGTTAATTTCTCAACCAAATATTGCTATTCCTTACTAATAGTCACAGAGAGTAATAATATGTAGGATTTTTTAACTGTTTAGAAGTGCAAAGATCCTCTCCAATATTCAACCCTCGAAGACAGACGTTAATACAATAAATAGGTGATATCAAAACATAACAAACCCATCAGAATATATGATATGATTACACTTGAGTTCCACAAAGAGCACAAAGAGATAGCACATTAACACTATTATCAATCACATCATTCCCCTGCAGCTTCAATGTCCTCAAGTCTGCAAATAACAGTTTGACTAGCAAATGACAAAAAAGCTTTCTCACCTAGATTGAATCACAGAAGTTTGATGTGAGTTACATTTTGGACTCAATTTCTGATTCGGTTCCATTGACTTCTTGACAGTATGATCTGATGAATTGATATTGGGAGGGTGACCAGGGCTAAGATCAGGGTCACTATTTACTGGATTATAGAGATTACGTTTATCACAGGACGAAGTATTCCATGAGAGACAGTTACTATTATTGTTATTATTCGAAGATGTTTTTATTTGTGGATTGAGTGATGAAGAGTTGAGATGAGTAAGTGAAGAGCCCAAGTTCGATAATGGCAGATGCGGAGATGAATAAATGTTAGTGGACTTGATGACCGAATTATGTCCAAGACTTTGGGACAATTCATGCTGTATCACATTATCTGATGTTTTGTCTTTTACAGCCATGTTTGAAGTCTGTGTTGGTTTATAGAATGGGGAAGGGGGAACACAAGAAGGAGCAACAGTGCCCTCTATCGGATTCATATAAGGATTAGGATTATACACTGAAGAACGCAGATCCACTGGTTCTATGGACCCGTTCAAACGTGGAAAACGTTCATGTAATTCATATCCATACTTTCTCACATCTGAATCCAAATGGGGAACTTCCTCTGCACAATGCATCTTTTTAGACAAGTCTATACTATATGGATCAATTCCATACTTTGTCACATCATAGCCATACTTCGTTGAAGGTGTCATAATGTCTGTGAAAGTATTGCTTGAGTAAGGAAGGGCGGTTTGATATTGCCGATGATCATAAAAATATCCATTGGTCAAACCATGTTTCTCAGCTTCAAAACGGTAGGATTCTGTAGATGGATACAAGGGAGCCTGTAATGAGCTGTAACCATGGGAACGGTAGAGATCTGGTTCATATCCATAATTGTTGCCACTGTAAGGATATATAATGTCTGCTTTATAGTCTCCAGTTTCATAAGAATTAAATGGTGGGTAAGTGTATCCTGGAATACCATTCACCAAACAAGCACCTTTACGCTTTTTATTAGGCATGGCACTTTCCCTCCCTTGAGATTTCTTCTTCACCTTATTAGATTTGGATTTTGAGGAAAAATCATCATCGGGAAATCCAAAACCTCCACATAAATCCATATCTAATAAAGGATAAGGTAATTTGAACTCATTTCCACGTTTTCCGAATAGATCTTGACCTTCATCATCTCTGTAATAGATAAAATTTAAAGAAAAATAAAGCCTCTAGAAGTCTTGAGAATATGGCCTTTAAACCACACATTAGCAATTACAGAAAGCATCAGAAATACACATAAAATATAAAGAAATATAAAAATTGATTTACATGTATTTAGATTAGATTTTAGATTAGATATTTTTCCATTGGAATTTCATATAATTTTATCAACTTATATTAACATGTATAATGCATAGTAGTTCTAAATCCACTTCATATCATGTGATAGATATATGGTACCTGACCTGTTTCTAACTGAGCTGTTATAATATACATCTTGCATTCATTTACTGCATATATAGTAAATCTATGACCACAATACTATTTTTTTTTTCAAACATTTTAACTGTCCACAGTGTCCAGTCAATAATGTTGTAGAAAACCGCAAAACTTTAAACTTATCCATGACCATGGTCAAAAACTAAATCATACCAAAACCAAATAATTAGAGGCCTAACAATTTACCTTATTACTAATTCCTTGAAATCTTGAATACAGTCTAAGTATCTAATTCAATGTAAAATTTCAGCACCAATTTTTTAAAAATATGTTAAATATATTGAGAGGGATAAACTGTTAAAAATTATTACAATTAGATCCATTTTCAACACATATTATATACTTTTTATATACATACTGTTACCTTTTTTATTTTAAAGATGGGTTCTCTTATTTTCATTTATGAAAATGAAAATGCTAAAACTTATATGAATAGAAAGTAGAGATGTTCTAATGACTTGGAAAAATACCAGTTTGTCTCACATGTACATGCAATAAGAACATAATGATATGATTAAGAATACATGATAATTCATTAGAAATACCAATTCTTCAAATAGTTTGCCTAATTTGACACTAAAAAAATAAGGAAACCCATCTTTAAGAAAATCAGTTGAAAAATAAAAAGCAATTTTATATTTGATGTCAATGGCAATAAAACTGTTTTAAATAAGCATTGCCAAAATCAATTACTCGAATACCAGGTTTTACAAAAAGCAGTTGAAAATATTATTAATATAAACCACTGTCAACTTAGAAATTCAGCCTTGATTGACACTTCAAAGTTCTAAACACATAGGCCTACTGTTGTCAATGAATTAAAGGAATATTTTTTTCTAATGGGATCTCTCACAATACAGTAGTAGTACAATCTTGTACTTTTATGAATAAATGCTAAAAATAAGAAAGGAGTGAAAGCAAAGCTTTTCTTGATTTATTCATTAACATATCTGTACCATCCCTTTTTAAAAGAGAAAAATATCTTACGTTAGCTGACGATGAGTTGCAATAAGAAAATCTGGTTTACTATTTTTATATACCACCTTACAACTAGATTGTAACCAACTCCATCTAAAATCTTTTGTCATCCACCTATAAGCTATCAATCCAGAACTTCCTGTTTTTATTACTGGAAAAGAAAAGCATAAGTGATAGAGCTTTGTTTCTGTTAGGTAGTCTTCTTGACTACAATAAAATTGTCAGGCCGTTATTCAAGACTGAATGGTTTTATTCATCATACTAACTGGTAATCGTACTAATCATACTCACTGGTTATCTTACTCATCATACTCACTCAGTGAGTGAGTCTCATTGGTTATCTTACCATCAAACTCACCGGTAATCTTACTCCTCATACTTACTGGTGTTCTTACTCATCATATTTACTTGTTATATTACTCCTCATACTTACTGGTTATCTTACTCATCATACTCACTGGTTATGTTATCTTACTCATCATACTTACTGGTTATCTTACTCATCATACTAACTGGTTATCTTACTCATCATACTCACTGAGTGAGTGAGTCTCACTGGTTATCTTATTCATCATACTCATTCGTAATCTTACTCATCATACTCACTGGTGTTCTTACTCAACATACTTACTGGTTATCTTACTCACCATACTTACTGGTTATCTTACTCATCATACTTACTATAATCATACTCACTGGTTATCTTACTCATCATACTTACTGGTTATCTTACTCATCATACTTACTATAATCATACTCATCATACTTACTGGTTATCTTACTCATCATACTTACTGGTTATGTTACTCATCATACTCACTGGTTATCTTACTCATCATACTTACTGGTTATCGTACTTATCATACTCACTGGTTATCTTACTCATCATACTTACTGGTTATCTTACTCTTCATACTTACTGGTTATCTTACTCATCATACTTACTGGTTATCGTACTTATCATACTCACTGGTTATCGTACTCATCATACTCACTGGTGTTCTTACTCATCATACTCACTGGTTATCTTACTCATCATACTTACTTTAATCATACTCATCATACTTACTGGTTATCTTACTCATCAAACTTACTGGTAATCTTACTCACCATACTTACTAGTAATTTTACTCATCATACTTACTATAATCATACTCAATTGTAATCTTACTCATACATTGTTCTAATAATAGTCAATAAAACACTAATATTCATTACTATATTACATAATATGATCAATGAAGCTACAATATGAAAGATAACTAATGTTTACTTACATTCTTGATGAGCAGATGAGAAATAATTCAAATCATCAGGATGAACCAAATCATAACCAGATTTATTAGACATATCATGATCAGAATAACCAAACATTAATTTTCCTCTGAAAATAAAGCAAATTTAACGTTGAATTTCAGGAACGGTAGTTCATTTAGAAAAGATAAACTCTTTGTAGCTGTATGAAGTGCAAAAATTTAAAAGGAGGAAAACCCTTAAGAAAATAATAATGTAGAATTATTGTAGATAACACCCTAATACAGTAGTCAGCAAGCAATGTTCCTAATGTATCAGCTGATAGATGGTAATTATTGACAAAACTGTCACTTAAAACAGTAATTCAGTGGTCTCAATTACTAAAACTTATTTTCATAAATTTGTACCTAATCACCCAGTCAAAAGAGTAATATGAGAAGTTTTTCGACAACAATGGCCTCATATCTTAACTGATATCTTTAACAAAATAAAGAGAATTTGATACCATAATCTACAATCACGTTAACATTTGCACCTTTAGAGTCCATGCATAATTGAGGTGTTATAGTTGTGTATGTGTTACTCAACATCTGATATACATTAAGATAATCTCGTAACTGCAATATATGGGCATCCAGGTCAAAGTTTGAATTTTTTGAATAGTTTTTAATGGCAAGGCCAATTATAGGAAGCAGTTTAAGCGTTATTAATTGATGGGTGATCGTAAATCTTGTTTTTTGAGCCAAAAGAGATTTTATTGTGCAATTGACCTTATGACTCACTACATTATTTGAGCCTTCAAAATTTTGTTCCATGAAAGAAACTTACACTAAGTCACACAATTTAGCATTTTTGCATGATGTGACATTATGTTGCATATATATGAGTGATTTAAAAGAAAGGTTGAAATAGCTATGTGGTTTTTTTATTTACATAGGATAAAATTATATCTCTAGTAAACAAACTTAAAAAGAATCTATTTCCTGAATGTTGAAAATCATTTAATACTGCATTGCTATTAAACAATCTTGTACTATTTTGTGTTCAAAGGTTTGGATCAAATCCAATCTAATTAAAATTAGACCAAATTAGATATTACTATTGATCAAAATCAATTAATACCATTCACACCAATGGCATCACTTCAATTTGATAACATTGTGTATGTATTTCATGGAGTCATGAATTTGTGGATTTGCTATATATAATATATAATTTTAATTCACATGATTAAACATAAACAAAACAAGCTATACAAAAGTCTTTGCATCCAGTATGCTAACTTGCTTCGAACAGTTTTTTTTGTTTTTCCAGTGGTATTTGAGTTTCATTTCAATTTGTTTAAAGTCATACCAAAGAGACTTTCTAGCTTTTAGAGGTATGTCAGGTACACTTGGAATTTCAGAAAAACCTGATAAGATGGTGTCACAATCACAAATACCATCATAACCAAACAAATCTGGCCCTACCAAAATTTAAACCTTGTATAACGTATAATAGTACAGTATATGAGGTTTTTCGCTTTCATTCGCAGAAAAATGAACATTAAATCTCATATAATATAATATTTTACGAGGTTTTAAATCTGACTGTTTTTATACGTGTTATTTAATTAGTGGTTTTTGGGTTATTTACAATCAAGCTAAGAATAACAGGTTTTGATTGCCAGATCTGCGCTTTTACGAGCTTTCAAACGGTACCAAAAAGTCAAAATGATCAAATATGGCATATACGCGGTTTCAAGCAGTCACCCACGATATGCTTATTTAGCAAGTGATCTTCTTTTATTGAAAGTTTTTTCACAACCATGTTGTATGCATCTGCAATTTCAAAAATTGAATATAATATACATTGGTTTCTATTCACACAATGCATAAAATAATATTCAATATTTGATAACTTACCTACTGTCCATAGTGATAGGTGAAAAATCCATTTTATGTTTACTTTTAAAGGTGAGTTCTCGAGATGGAATGTCAAAGAGTGAAAGAGGACCGAATGGACAACATGTTGCAAATAACGCTAGTTGTGGATCTTCTGTTCTATTTCCATGATTCTGCCCATGTAATACTCTTAACCATCCACTGATTTCTAATGTCTAAAAATGATAACATTATTGAAATTTCACTTGTTAATCTTATGGAATTGATTGGAAGGAGACTATAGTAAGAGACCTGATAGTCAAGGAGAAAAGAAGGGTATATAATACTGTCTAAAGGTACTTGTATATATGTAGTTTGGATATTTAAACCTGTGTTGTAAGAGTAATAATCATAACATGTGTTCTGAGTTATTATAAATGAATTAAGAAGTTCACTTCCTACTTTTCTGCAACCTTATGAAGACTTCAATGACATTTTGCATGGACTAACCATTAGCCTGTCTTTGGCACTTTTCATTTATCTTGGAAACATGCATCTTTATCATGGTTATAAGATAGCCAATGCATAACAAAATGGTATGTGTAAGTATTGCACTAATATAAATATCTCTAACTAAAAGCAAGTGTATTCTTTAGAAATATCTATATACTGGTCTAAAGCGGGGTTGAATGTGACTAAAAAGGAATAGGCAAAGCAAGCTGGCACAGCACATACCCTTCCTGTAACTACATGTATAAAGCTAAAATATGCCCACTATGGTACTTAAGCAGTTGTGTTTGGTTTGGACACTTTCAAGGATGGTGACAATAAACATTCATAAATATATAACCTATAGTAATACAGAACTTTGGTTTTTTCTGTATTCTACAGAAGACCATCATGAACTGGCCACCTTTGGTTGATATTCTTTTGTTCAAATTTATAAGAAATTGTGCATTTTAGAGTATTTTAGAGCTAAAGACTGAATATATTGAATATATGTGTACCAAAAACATCTGGAGATTGGGTGAAAAGTCAGGAAATTTTTCCAAAGCGCGTAAATTCTAGAAAATTAATGTCCATATGATGAATATATTTCAGTATTTTTTAGCACTTTCATTTGGTCAACAAGTATAAACAATTTCACAAAATGTGTCTAGTAGAATGTTAAGGAGCAATTGTGGAAGACAGATGTAGTAATGGACATTGGTGAAGATGAACAATTACTTACTATAAAACCTGAGGTATTATCTAATAAACAGCGAAATCTAACAGTAAATGAACGATGAAGGTACATTTGGTTTTCTGAAAATGAGAAAGATGGAATCAACAGAATACTTACAATTAGGTTAATATATGTATATTTCTTCTTGTTAGTTTCATTTGATTTGTCTAGATTTAATAGCAAATTATTTGGTTCAAAGAATTTCCAGCTGCAGCCATATTATTATATATCAAATAGAATTATTTACAATTTACAATTTAATAGTAAAAATTTTAGTTGTGATTTAGATCTGAGTTTCTGGAAGTAGGGTTAAATTAACCTTTGATGAAGTAAGTAAGGCAGTAATATTGGTTTGTTATTGTAGAATTGCTATTGCTTATTTTTTTTCTCAAAAATACATATTTTCTTGCAAGGCCTGATAAGCTCATCTTAGTGACAGCTGAATGTCCTAGACAATACAAGTGTTTCTTTATTCTTGGATTTTCTTTTTTTGAAATATTCTTATCACCAATTTCAGCTTTTTTTTTTCTTTCCTTTCCTTTTCTAGATGAAAATCCATTAACGAAAAAAATATATTGTTTGGCCTTGAAATAGCACAATAACATCAAACTGTTATCTCTTACACATTTCAGAATGATTGTCATTGTTATAGTATTGCAAATGCTGTCAAGACTGAAAACATTGTGTTTAATTTCAAAGGGACTAGTGTGCCATTTTGGGGGGGTTGATTTTAGTCTTGAATATATGTAAATAGTCTTCAGAAGAACGAGAAATGTACGAAAATCCTATAGTTCCTTTAAAAATACTTCAAACTTCAAACAGCAGATATATTTGTGCATATCCTGAGACCAATAAAAATAAAAAAAGGAGTAGTTCACCCTTTTTTAGTATTAATTAATTAATAGATTAATTAAATATTAATGTTTTAAATGGTCCCCAGCATGGTGAATATATTTGCATGACTATATCTATTCAATATCAACATATTGGTAATGGCCTAAAATATTCTGTTGCCTTATAGTTCTAAATTAAAAAAAAAAATAAAATAGTTGTTAAATGTTTGTGCATTACATACTTTGGCTGGTTTGTGTTAAAAGGTATATCTGCTTAAAAGAGAACTTTAAAAATAAAACCTTTATACTTTATCCAGGTTAAAAGGAGCATTAGTTTTGTTCGCAAGCCTTTTAGGCACACCTAGAAACAATATTTTTATTTCTAATTTTGTTAAAATATTTTGCACAACTCAAACTTTCGGATTCCACAAGTTGAAATTTCGGATTCCACAAGTTGAAATTTTGGATTCCACCAGTCGAAATTTCGGATTCCACAAGTTGAAATTTTGGATTCCACCAGTCGAAATCTTGGATATCACAAGTCGAAATTTCCAATTCCACAAGTCAAAATTTTCAGATTAAATGCTAGAGTTTCTTTTGTATTTAGCACATTTCGGTAGGCCTATGCTTAGACTAAGTAAATTGATCAAAAAGATTAAAAGTGGATGATGCTTCGATGAACAGGTAGGGCAGGGGGCATGAGCACCATAGACGAAATTTCGAGTTATGCAAAATATACTTATTAAAAGAGTTCTTTTTAAACTGTTCAATTTTGAGGGTTTTCTTTAATATAAGACAAAACAAAGATGTTAAAAAAAATTAGAAAAGTCCTGTACATGATTATTTTGATGTACTCAGGACAAAAAAAAAAATCAACTGCTGAATTTTTTGCAAATGTAAAAGAAATGACAGCATTTATGTCATAAGTCTCATTGACAATGAACATACTAGTCCTATGTCAGATGCATTTTCTCTATAACAAACAAATATCTTTTGTAGTGAGCTGATTTCAAATATCAAAACCTCTTTTTTCAAACATATTCGTAACTAACTTAAATAACGTGAACAATGAAGTCATCAGTCATAATCAAACTAGGTGCGTAGTTCAAAATTCAATTTAAATTTCAAAATAAAAACTAGTAAAAATATTGAGAGAACAAACCTGGCAATAAAATTTCATGTAAAGACATATTGGATTTTTCAGGTGGGAGACAAGAACTCGATCCTAATTGTCGTTTAAACTCCTCTCTATCTTCAGAATGTATTAATTCCATGACACTTTGATGGATGATATCCGACTGAAAAAAATAATGAAATTGTTATTTACTGCGTTTTGATAATATACCAAGAAATATTATTTAAACAATTGATTTTCATCGATGTAAATTTCATTGTTATTGCAACAACCACCAAAGTCATGTGATCTGGAGAAGATTGCATCTGACATTGACTTAGTCAAGGACAATTAATATAATTCTTTCATTCCAACAACAATATTTAATTCATCATTCTGATGTTATATCATACTGTAAAAATGAAAATAATGTTGCAAGTTGATTAAATTTTATTTACTGAAATATATAATAATATATGTATGAATGTATAGGTATATTCTGAATGCTCTTCAAATTTACTTTAAAAGCATGTTTATTCTCTCTATGTAATGAATTCTTAAATATCTTTTTGGGTTCAATTTTCATGAATTTGTGAGGTCATCCATTCCTGTGCATCATATAAAACCTGCTGTACTCTCATTGTCAACTAAATAAGATTCTTAAAAAATCTGATTTGGAAATTTGATATGTTTGGTTGTATTAAATTTTCATCCTTAAGATTTATTTTTGCTATTTTTCTCTCTTACTTAAAGGGATGGGTAGGCCAGTTTTTTGACCAATAATACTTTTGTTTCAGAAACTGGAATTTTTCAGCTGAGCTAATCAGTAATAGTGTTCACACCTCACCGTCATATAGAAATAGTGATTAAAATTCCTAGTTTGAAGTACTTTTAAAGGAATTATGTGATTTTCTTACATTTCTAGTACTTCTGAATATAAGTGTATAATCAAAAATTGTGACCCAATTTATTTGTGCCCTTTCCACACCAAAATATCATCTGATTAAAGCTTTTACGATCATTGGATCATTTTGGCTATACTCTTGCATCAAATTGATTATACATCAATAAGGAATCCATTGATGTCAAAATATTCCATGTTTATACAATATTTAGAAAATACCTTTATCATTCAGTGATGTGTCAATTTCAGCTCTGTTGGTGTTCGAAGCTTATATTTACATTCTGTTTACACAGATATAAACCGAATTCATGTGACTGCTGTTATCCAATCAAATTGAGTGATACCAGGTAAGCGGAATCATGATTTAATTGTCATTTCTTAAAATTAGATAAGAAACAGGTAACCATAGGGTTACTTTAGCCTATGAAAGGGTATAATAATTTCATAACCCAATAACACACTGGACTTTAACATTTACAGAAAAATAAATTCATAAAATTTCATTGTTTCGATGTTCTTGAAAATTTTTCAATTTAAGAAATATGGCCCTTTTTTGGATTTAAAAACAAAAACAAAAAAAGGGGTATAAAGTAGAGAGAGATTCTAACCTGATGAAAGCCTAAGTACTGTTCTACAGTTCTGGAAGCAAAAAATACTTCTCCATCACATGAAACCACAAATAAAAAACCATACAAAGCCTGGAATAAATTATCATATCACTTTTTTATCTTAATTAAACATTCAAGTTGATGTGGAGCAAACTCAACTGCACTCTGTAGTATTGTTTACAAATATGCATAAATAAATATCTATATTTAAGATGCTTTTTTCAATCCACCCTATCGAGACATAATATATAGTCTTTTTAATATTGATAGACCCAGTTTCAACCATCTACACCACATTCCAAGAATAAAATCTGACATCTTGTTCCCCTTCATTTCAACAAAAAGAGTAGGTGTAGGTGTTTGATATGGATGACTGAGATAGAGCTCTATCAGGTAAATCAAATAACAAATGACCATATCCTTCTTTTTTTAAATAGTAGTATTTTCTGTGCATAACTGTAGGCTGTAAAAACTTTTTTGAAATTTATTGCCCAAATAGAATGGTGTGAAACAGAAAAAGTGCCAGAACAATAATTGGAAAGCCGTGATACATGTAATAACAAATTAATTAAGGACATCTCCCAATGAAAAGAACATCTTTCTTACAACAGTATTAGCCTTTTAATAACTAAATATATATGAATGAATGAATGAAAATATTGTATTCATGTAAAGATGGACAATTTTGCAGTTCCACCTCACCACAAATATCCCTAATAGTCTAGTTTAGTTTTGAAGCATAGGCATTAACATTTTACTAATATAATGTTTGGAGTGTAATTATATGACAAAAGTTAAAGATATTAGTCCAAAAATTTGTACAAAAAGTCTGAAATACATTTTCTTCTCATGAAAAAGGAATAATGATGAAAAATTTGTGAAATTAGATTTTTCTCAAAAATGACACTTCTATCTATTCTGAACCAGTTCATAGGAAAAACCAACATGTTTTTGTGTGTTTTCTGACAATGTTCAGAAGAATGACCAACAATTTCTCAGTGGGTTTCTATATGCCCTAACTTAATTGGCAACGGTTTGAACAATTTATGAAAATAACTGATTGCAGAATTTCTGGATGTGCAGACTTCACAATGGTTAGAAAATGAAAGTTTATCTTACATTTAAAATTTGTTTGGGCCACAAGTGGATAAATTTCATAAATAAATATGGTGTGGTTGAACTCTGAAATTAAATTGTTCATCTGTACAATTAATTACAACAGATTTGGTGAATCAGAGGTAAATAAAGTGACTTCAACTCCCTCATCAAGTATCTGTAAGCACTTTCGAGACAGTGAAAAGATTATTCTTATCAATTAAAAACACATACCTGTAGTATGCTCTCTCCTTCTGAGAAACCAGGTTCAGTAAATAAATGAGATCTTCCTAATAAATGATTTTCTATTCCATAACGAGACGGTAAAACTGCTGCAAGATACAAAATAAATAACACTTTAATTTGTGAAAACTTAATAATGTATTAACAATTTACATTCCAAAATCATTTCAAGTAGGCAACACATAGCTTTAAATGATAATTTCTTGTTTATACTTATACCAAATTATCTTCAGTAGGTTATAAATTCTACTTCTAAATTATTTAAGGAATGACCTGAACATTTTTTCTGTTTATACATCGATTAATAATCAAATCAACTTGAATACGCGTTTAAATATTTATGTGATATAACAACAACTTAAGGCACTAAATTGGCGCATAAATACATAACATTTTAACATAACGTTAATGAACTGATACTAACAATAGAGAACAGCCAATCAAAAATAAGTAGGTCACATTATTTATAGTCTCCTGTCTACGGCCTGAAAGTTGACCACATTGAAAGTGCAATTATTGAAAGACAAATTCGAAAGACGAAGTCCAGAATTCATGATATTGTTGAAATTTGGAGCGTACACATTCAAGGGAATACTGTCATCATTCAGTGAAGTGTCAAAGCACGTCAGTCAAACTCAATGATAAAAGTAGTCCATTAAGGGGCGGAGCTTACATTTAAATTCTGTTTACACAGATATAAACCGAATGCACGAGACCACTGTTATCCAATCAGATTGCATGATACCGTGTAAACGGAATCATGATTTGATTATATAAAGTATATCTAACGCACAAAATAGGGATGTTTCTTTCAAACACTTCAGGCATATAATATTGTGGACCAGGTAGAATGGTACGCTTCTGAGTTTGTTAACTTGGTGTAAGATTAGTTTTATCATTTCATGCACATCTATGATGGATTTCCCATTTTGTTTTTTATGAAATGGACTGAAATATCATTATAAAATTTCTATTATCCACATTTCCATCTCGAACAAAATAATATACCCCAGTTAAAGAACATAATCTTAATGATACTGGAGGAAATAATAATCACTCAAGTCTTGGAGTTCTTATTCCATGATAGGGGTTGGTGTCAAAAGAAAGACTATTTGTCTGAAACTAATCAAAATCTATGTAACCTGAGCTATTATGGTTATTGATTAAATATAACAGAGAAAGCCATTACCTTTCAACATGGCTGCCTTTTTCAAATTTAATCACAATATTAGCATTTTTAATTTTATCTTTTAATTTACTTTGAATCATGTTTTGTTTGTTAATCAAAATCTAAAATAATCTTTTGGTTAAAATAGACAACACAAAAACAAATCTACTGACATAGCTCCTGTGACCCTTTTCAATCAATAGTCTGTCATTTATATGGAAGACAATATAAATTAAGCACATAACATTTGTTTTTTGAAATCAACCTTTCGTATGAATGATACTGAAGTATTTGTTTGATTATTTATTCATTCATATATATAAGTTTTTGTTATCAATATTTCTCTTTCAAAATACAATGACCATATCCAGTTCTATCAATATTCAATCAAAACTACAGTTTTTATTGTGTTCCAAAGCCAATTTCAGCATATTTTGATGAGGTCAAAGGTAATGATTACAAAAATCATGTAAATCACAATTAACAGAAGCCTCTGCAATTTACAAAAGCATATCAAGTTTCACATAAATCTTTATTGTCAAACCATAAATAAAAAAACTTTTGCTGAAATCAAATTCAACTCACACTAGGTCTCTACAATGTTCAAGCCTCAACAAAAAGAAGACTGGAGTATATATTCCTAGCAGACGACAAACCAAATCGCTTTTGATTCAGCGAACCCCTAATGCTGAACTGAGAAATCAAAAGATAACATTTTTGCGTATTTTGATCTCCGGTTCCATCATGGCGTCCAGTATTAAAATAAAATTTAATTCAAATGAATATGAAATAAGGAATATTTTTGTAGACTCTGGATCGTTGTTAGAAGAAGACAATGATCCATCCAATCAAAAAGATCAAGTAATCGAACAAAAATTGCCAAATTCTTTAGTTTATGACAAGCTCTAACAAAAAAATCAAAAGTATTGTTGTCCTAATATTTCTGTCAAGTGGAAATGAGAGAAAGTTGACAGTAAAATTTGGATACAGTTTTTCTCATCATTTGAAATGCAAATAAACCTTTTTAAAAGCATATTTTATATTTTGATTAAAAAAAATTTTGGAAAATATATACAGTTTTTGAGCAAAATTTGACATTGTAATCAGTGGTTAAAAAGTGGTTAAGAAGGCACAATTTCTGAAGGGTATACAAAAGGTTAAAAACAACATGCCTGTGATAATTGTTATTCTATCATGTTTGATTTTATCCTGTGGGGCAAGCTATCTTTAAGAATTATTTTTGCACATTTCCAATTTTCAAGCATAAATTCGTCCTGCTTTCAATTTATGAAAAAAACAAATCCTTAATAAAGGCCCACTCAAACTTTCAATCATATCATCAAAGATAATCCTTTTAAAAAAAACCTACTAATTTCCATATTTAATGAAAGTTCAATATTTTCTACATTCAAAAGAAAAGCCTTAATTTGATGTTATTAACAGCAATTTTGTAATAGAGCAAAACAAAACTATTTGAACAAGGAATATATAATAGGCTATGATCATAGGTTGTCAAAACGCCACTGTAATTTGAATAGTTATCAAGTGGGCTCTAATATATAATTTGCATCTTTGATTAAAATGCTGCATGAACTTTCTAACATAAAAAATACAACCCTGGTTATTAGAAAGAAAAATATGATGGGCAATTGTATGAGATTTGTGAGTGTGTAATTTTCTCCATTAATATGAAACCTTATTGAATGAATCTGAGAGGAAGTGTGTTCTAATCAGGTAATTTCCATCATCTAAAATGGTTTAAATACGACTGTGTTATTCTGATGTTATATCAAATGTTTAACTGTTTTTTTTCAAATTTTTCATTTGCACAGAAAACGGAATGTTGAAGCATGCAGCACCTGGTCTATTAGTAATTTTCTTGTAAAAGTAATGGTAGACAAGTAAAGGTAGACTTATAAACATGTATTTGATGAACAAGCTCAAAACATGATATGATGTCCTTCTTTTCTGCACCTAATGGGCTAATTATAATAATAATAATAAACTCTTTATTTTACATGGGTCAGAATTAGGCCAACAAGGACATGGTTGTGTAAATGAAAACATCATGCAGTGTGAAATGAGGGACATTTTGCCAGGACAGCGGCTCGAATTCTATTTTCAACAGTCAACATATCTATAATGTAATAATTAATATGCATTAATGTATTCTATATATTTCAACAAACTACAGATAGTTATTTATCAATAAAAGACTCCAATATTAGCAATAGATGTTTATTTAATCTTCAATTAATCCTTTTCAATTAATTTACTTGTGTTAATTATTTTATTCAATCAGCAATCGTATGTTATTTTAAGAATTATTGTACCTATCAAAAATAATGTAATGTAGGCCTACTAATAAACCAATTTATCTCTTGTGTGTTGATTTAAACAATATTTATTTCTTCTTAATTTACAAATAATACATGTGTTATATATAAACGTTGGTTTCAGAAACAAGCCAAGGCTTACATTAATCTGTTACCAATACAAATATTTACAAATTATGAAAATATAATTATAAATATGTCAAAGAAATTACAGCAGCGTTACTTAATATGTACATTGAAAGCAAATTATAAAGTAACAAAAATATTTACAAAAAAGAGGGTGAATAAGGGCCGAATAAATTCATTGGTGATTAAAACAAGATATTAATATTGACAAAGTGAAAATAACGTGTGTTGTTAATAATAAGCATTTATGTATCTGTAGTTTGCCCATCACTTCTTCCATAGAAGATATTCTTGTCATACCCATTGAAAAAGTTCCCTTATTGCCTACAGTTAAACCCAAAACCAAGCCATTACAGAGAGAGAGTTTCTGGATCGATCAATTGCAAACTGTAGTACCTTGTGGTCTAAATATCCAGCATGAATATCAAATTATACCCTTTGTTGCAACCTATAATTCGACAATTCCACAGACAAAAATGCTTCTCTGATTGTCAAACGATATTACAAGGAACTTCAAGACCAATTTCCAGTTTAGTTACTGCTTTAAAGAAACAAAAATCGAAGTAATTTACTTCTCCATGGAAAATTGGACCCCATTCCATTAACTGAAACAATTGCATAAAATGTTTTTGTATTATTTGTAAACATTGTATTATTTAAGTTATTTACATTGTTGTAATTTCTCTTTGCACATAGCGATGAACATTTATAACAGTACCATTTCAATTTAATCTTCATTACTAAAATTGATCATTGTTGCAAAAGAATAATGTTCTCTTCTTGTGACCGTGGCCAGTGCTTCTATAGGAGAGTATCTTTTTTAACACACAAATAAAAGTGTCATCCCAGATAGATTTCATGTTGGCTCTCATTAAGATATTGTAAATTTCTACATGTTTAAGAATCTATCGAGTGAAACAGACAATACCTTGTCATCTACCAACCAACCTATTTTTGCTTCAAAATGAAAAATGTAGAGTCAAATTCATATCCATTGATTAATTATATTAGACGCTTAACTAATCAACTCTTTCTCATACCCATTCATTTTTTTTATTATAGAATTATCAATTTCATTAGTATATGAACTGTTGCAAAACCCATTAACGCATGTCTCAATATACACTTGTAGAACAGAATGTGTAATTAACAAGATTGACATTGTATATGTGAAGGAATGACATTAATAAGTTTGATTGGATCTGGCATTGTTATAGGTGGCTTTAATTAGCCTTCATAGACAGTAGAACAATGGTGCGAGGTGTGAGGCTCTAATAGATTGAGAGAAGGTGAAATGGATAGCTTATTGATTAACCAAGCAATCTCTATCAATGGCCTGATAAGTTTGCAGTCTGAGTGTATTTTTACAAGAAAGAATGAAGTATTCTATATCAGTTTTTTTTCTTGATTTATTTTCTGAAACTGAAAACCACAATTTATGTTTTGCTTTGGTTGTTTC